CACTGAAGGTCTTTGAGAGAWGCCACACACTGGTGGATTGCATATATCTCAGCTTGAGATGCAGTTGCAAAACAGCCTAGTGGGTATTTATGCTCTCTCTTACTATGGTTGTGCAAAATAAGCACCCCTGYACCTACTGACCCCTTCAGAAGGGATCCATCTGTAAAACAGTAGAAATGATTGGGGGACATGTGTCGTGGAGAGGTTAATCCAGACAGACCTGTCTTCTATCTCTGTCTTAAAATATGGCTCAAAATTGTATTTTTTGACCATTCTGTCTCCAGGTCCTGCAGTTACTGGAACAGCACCAACTGCCCAGTCCCAGATTCTAGTGTGCTGTGAGTCAGATAGGTTTTTCCACCTACCAGAATGGCGTAGCCTTACTGCACTGGATGCGGCCTCCCTTAAGATATGTAAATCTAGTGGAGTCAGGTCCAGTAGGACTTCCATGGCTGCCGTGGGTGTTGTTCTGATGGAACCTGTGATGCTCAGGCAGGCCATTCGTTGCATATGGGTGAGCATCACTCTTGCCACCCCAACTTGGACTCGAACCCACCACACTAAAGAAACATAGCATGGCATGGGGCGGACTATGGCTGTGTGGATCCATCTTATAACCTTTGGGGTAGCACCCCAGCGACTACCTGCAATTCTATGGCACTGGTGTAGGCACTTTGCTGCCTTCTTACTAGGGATGTAAGGATTCACTCAAGCACCGATTCGATTATCTATTTTAAGTTCACGATTACAATTATTTTCAATTATTTTATTATTATATTTTTTAAATGAATTGTAGCCATTTTTTACCCAAATGTTGCTTTTATTTTAACATCAGTATTTTTGGTATTGTGTCAAACAGTTTTGTCTATTGACTTAATAACAGAACTGAACATCAAATAAAATACTAATAAGAAAAATAAATCTTTTAAAATAAACATGTTTTTTAACAGCAGCATTTATGTCCCTGTATCAAACAGTTTTGTCTGTTGACTTAGTAACAGAACTGAACATCAAACAAAAAAAATACTAATAAGAAAATTAATATTTTTATATAGACATGTTTCTTTTAACAACAGCATGTCTGTGAATCAAACTGTAAAAGCTGTCTAATATAACATAAAAAAATAAAAATGGCATCAATGGCACAAATCGAGAAGACACATTCACTTGGTACTGAAGTGGCTGGTGTGGTGAGGTATGATTTTGCAAGTGGAGAAAGTAGTGGGTAGATCTTACCATTCTCATTCCAYCACTTGAGTGGGCAGCTTGTGAGGGGTGTTGCTGCTTCGCTTCTGTACTTGAGGATTTCTGCTTCAACTTGATTAATGCAGTTGCCTGAACCTGCCTGCAYAGGTGTCTCAAAGTCCCTTCTAGAAGATTTTCTAAGGCCGTTTTCTTGAGAGGGTGGGGTTGTGGCTGTGCTGTCTCTGTCAGCTTGGCAAGCTGCTCTACTGCAGGTGGTGTAGCTCTGGGTTCTGCCCTTCCATCACTTGTGTTCTCCACAGGTAAGCTGGTCTATAAACAGCAAAACACAAAAGAATGTTTTATAATTCAATCAGAAAAATCAACATGAGAGAAATGCCAAAAAATAAAACATTTTTCTTGCTTTCATTGCATTATTGTAATGTTTAGGCATATTTTACATAAATATAAATTTAAGATATATCGGTAACTGTTAATTACAGCAAAAAACAGAATATGGTTAATGCCTATGTATGTACTGTAGCTGCGCAGCTTTCTCCTTCAGTCTGTGGTACACATCCTGACGTTGGGTTTCCTCTAGATGAGGTATGGWGTGAAATCTGGGGTCAACTGCAGTGCACTCCAACAGGTGGCTGTATTCTCTAGCACAATGGTTCCCAAACTTTTCAGCTTTTGACCCACAAAATTGTACAAAATAACAGCAGAGACCTGTGCTCCCAACTATTTTTGAATGCTAAACATTTGGATCAGGTCAACAAAACATGGGCATAGTAACAATATTTTTTATACTACATTTATCCATTTTAAATATACTAACCTCACTCCTTTATAACAACTAAGGCAAAAATGTAATTAATTCAGAAAATCTTGTCAGTACCCCACCTTGATGTTTCRGGACCCCACTTTGGRTCCCGACMCCAACTTTGGGAAACACTGCTCTAGCATACCTGTCTGAAATATTGCTCAGGATAGCCCTCTTCATAGCAGTCACTGTGGCTGAGTCGTTTTCACCATCTTCCATGTTCTGTTTGATCATGTATTTTAGAGGCAGTATGAGGGATACTGTGGGGTTGTGTTCATCACTGAGCACAGTGGTGGCTTTTTTTAAAAGGCTTCAGACGTTTCACAATGTCCTCAGCATCACGGATGTCAGAAGTATCCAGTGTGTCGACTTCACGTGCATTTCGTCTTCTGTCTGGGCTGTGAAGAGGTGCTGCAATGGCTTCTTGTTGCTCCAAACAGCATTCAACCATGCCCAGATTGCTATTCCAGGGTGTTGCAACATCCACGATAAGCTTGTGCTGATTGTCTTCGTTAAGTGCCTTTTGTTTGGATGCTAACACAGAGGTTGCAGTTGGGCTGCGGTGAAAAAAGCTTAAAGACTGTTCGAAAAGGAACAGGCAGCCAATGTAAAGATGCCAGTATAGACCTTATATGGTCATGCTTCCTGGTTCCTGTAAGGAGCCGTGCTGCTGCATTCTGGATCATCTGAAGTCGCTGCTTCTGTGATTTATCCCTGCCTTTATATAATGAATTATAKTAATCCAAACGAGATGTAACGAAGGCATGAACAAGTCCTTCAAAGTCCTTAAAACAGAAATAAGATTTGACTTTTGCTAAAATCCSCAAGTGATAAAAACCAGATTTAATGACAGAACTAACTTGTTTATCTAATTTTAAAGAGGTATCAAAAGTGAAACCAAGATTTCTAGCAGAGTTCTGACAGAACCGAGCTAAAGGACCAAGAATCTGATCTAAATTTGTAGTCTGAAATTTTTGACCAAATAATATAACTTGAGTTTTACTTTGATTGCGGTGAAGAAAGTTCTGTTCCATCTAAAATTTAACTTCAGCCAAACAGTCTGTCAGTAGCTGAAGAGATTCATTCGTACCATTTTGTAGCTTAAGGGGCATATAAATCTGGAYGTCATCCACAAAGCAGTGAAAGGAAATATAAAATTTATGGAAAATCTGACCAAGAGGCAATAAACATAAGATAAATAAAATAGGACCTAAGATTGAACCTTGGGGAACGCCATGCTTTAAAGGTTTAGCCCCAGAACAGCATTGGTCAAGATGAACAGAGAAAGTTCTGTTTTCCAAATAAGATTTAAACCATTCAAATACTGGGCCTCTCAAGCCAACACAATATTTTAATCTATGTAAGAGAGTCTGATGATCTACAGTGTCAAATGCAGAGCTCAGATCTAGAAGTAATAAAACTGCAACATTGCCCGAATCGACTGTCAAAAGGAGATCATTATACACTCGAAGCAAAGTTGTCTCASTRCAATGAGCAGCTTTAAACCCAGAGTGACACTTCTCAGTTATGTTAGTATCTTTTAAAAACTCTTCAAGCTGAATAAAAACTATTTTAAGAACCTTTGATAAAAAAGGGAGTTTAGAAATGGGCCTAAAATTTGCAAGTTCATTTGAGTCCAGATTTGATTTTTTAAGAATGGGTTTAACAACAGCATGTTTAAGAATAGATGGGACACAACCTGATTGTACTGAAGTATTTATCACCATTTGGAAATATCTGCCAAAGGTAAGAAAAATGTATTTTATCAGATAAGTAGGAAGATAATCCAAAGGATAATTTGAAGGCCGCAGATGTTTAATAATCGAAGTCAGTTCATCTAAAGAACTAGCTGAAAATGCTCCAACATAACCGGGCATTGCAGCATTTCCTGGAAATCCAAGTCTACCGGGGTATTTGAGCCTCTAAGAGCTACAATTTTGTCCGTAAAAAAATTTGAGAAATCCTCACAAAGTTCAACAGAGGCGACTAAAGGGCCAAATGTAATCGAGGGATTAACAAACCTATCCAAGACATTAAAAAGGACTTGTGACCTATGCTTATCTGAAGCCACAAGATTAATAAAATATTTAGATTTTGCTAAATTGACAGTATTCTGATAGTTGAGTAAACTATCTTTCAAAACTCCAAACGAAACCTGCAATTTATCTTTTTTCCACCTCCACTCAGCAAGTCTACAGTCCCGTGTGAGTGCACGYGTGGTTTCATTAAGCCACGGCTCCAAAAGTTTCTTTTCTGTGGCTTTTATAGTTTTCTAGGGAGCTACCATATTAAGAACATTTGAGCATGCATTCTTAAAATATAAAATAAGAGCTTCAATGTCAAGATTGCTATCAGTAGGGAATGTAGTATGGGCAAAGACTGCATTCAGTTGAAGAACAGTATCAGAGTTAGTACAGGGGCGCGGTGGCTCAGTTGGTGGAGCTGACGCCTCTCAGCAGGAAGGTCGCCAGTTCAAATCCTGGCCCGGGGACCTTCTTGCTGAGGGGCGTCGGCTCTGCCAGCTGAGCCACCGTGCCCCCAACATTAAAAAATAAAAACCTTAGAGTTAATAGTACGACAAAGTAAAGGTTTAGCATTGTTTGTAACCACAAAAGATGTATGGTATGGAATGGTAAATTAGTAATAAGTTATATATTTGATCAGTTTGTTAGCATTGCAATATGTACACACCTAACAAAGGCTTCCAGATGATTTTTTTTGTTCCACCTTCAACATAAATGTCTTTAAAATTTTCAGAAGTYGGTGTAAGTTGTCTAAATCATTAAAGTGTGACAGGGCCTTTATATTGCTGTATCGTGGCTCTGACCCCAAGAAGAAATTTATTAGTTTATAAAAGACACAAGGAGATTTAGGATGATGGCATGATTTAATGATACAGAAAAGAGAATAAATTGTATTACATCCCCAAGATCATGGAATATTYTCTTGAAAACATTGATAATATTGTTTTAATGGTGGTTATCTTGAATTTCAGGAACCTATGAATGCAGGCTATTAGGAAAAAGCAATTCAGTTTACATTCAGTCTGGAACCTTCATTGCTTCATCAGCCCCTAAGATCGATGTGATCCCATTCAACCAAAAAGTGCAATGTTTTGACGATGTACCACTGGTCTGCTCAGTCAACAGTCCCTTTACCGTGACGTTTGAGGGCCAAACAGGTATGGGTAAACTTGAAGGAAAAAAGAAATGGATAGACAAATAAATTACTTCCTCATCTGTTAACAGACATTTTAAAAAATTAATTTACATTTTACTATTTTATATACATTTGTTGAATACATTATTTGGTTTTGAAACTGTGTATTTTTGTACCGCACTGCCTTTCAAACAAAATCTTATGATGTCACAATTTATTTTCAGGCCCGAAAGTCACCTCATCATTTAAAGTTCCTGACACCTGCACAAATGGAGGTGTCAAACAGTTCATCTGTACAACAAACACAACACCAGTATATAAACAAACAATAACACTGCAATACAGCACAGAAAGTGAGTATCAAATTGGAGAGGTAAACATGGTCCAAGTCAACATCTTTTTGGTCTAAGTATACAGCATTCCAAAATTAACTAAAACATTTTTCTCTATGTATATAGTTGTTGTATGTTATAATGATACATTTGGTGATGGACCTGAAGGCTTTGTGAGTTCAGTCCTCTGTACCGGAGACTATGTCGGCATAAAAACAGCAAAGTGTTTTGCAAATGGCAAATATGGAGATGAACAAAACAACTGCATCCTTTCACGTATTAGTGATCTGCTTCAAGAGTCTTTGGTAAGCCAGTTCCCAATTGTTGTTGTTGTTGTTGTTTTACCAAAGAATAGCATCAAAGAATATTGTGCTCGTTATGCCACAGCTTCTCTACTTAAATATTGTTATTTTCAGTGTTCCACGGGAATAAGTCATGTGTGTACCACCACAAATAAATATTGAATAAGATGACAGCTGATTCAGCACAAGTGTTAATTTTAAATAAACCAGCATTTATTGACAACTTTTGCCTGTAATCCGTTTTCCCCTGGGGATCAGTAAAGTATCTACTGTATTTATCTATTTGGCAATTATTGGCCTTTTAGGAAGAAGATGAAATACCTGCTAMATTTGAAGCTCTCTAAATTGTTGAATTGTTGAAGTTTAACCTAAATATTACAGCTGCTATACTGTCTACATGAATGAGTTATACGTCAAACTCAGTCTTAAAATAATTCTATACAAATCACAACCTATCACTTGGGCCTGTTGGGTTTGTGTCTTGTTTGTCGTCTCCCTCGTATCCTCCTTGCATCATTACTCACTCATTTTCCCTCAGTCTGTTTATGTGTCTTTTTTCCTCTTCGGTCATCCTGCACCTGCCAGTAATTATCTAATCAGTCCCGCTCAGCTGTTGCTCATCTTCTCCCTCCCTCTGCATGTATAAATAGTTGTCTCTTGTCTTCATTCAGCACTGGTTCATTGTTTGACTATACTCAACTGTTTTGGTTTCCCTCRTCGTATCCGGTGTCTTTTGAGTTTTTTTTTTATTTGCTGCCACGTCAGCTTTTTGTTTTACTTTTATAATAAACATTCTCATTTTTGAAACTTTTAATCTCCGTCCGGAATTGGGTTCATTCTTCCACGTCAACCCAACAGGGCCATGTTTACAGGGATCTCCGATTAGTTGTAACATTAGAATTTATTTGATAAACATTTATTTTAACTGTAAAATAAAGACTGTAAAAATACTGTAGGCTGTTTAGTTTTGTAAATTTTTAAAAATATTTTTTAACATGGATGGAGCC